ATTTTTATCCAAACATGTACTTAGGGTCACACAAATAAATTGTTAGGGTTACATAATTTATTGTTAATTTATAACTTTTATATTAAATAATTAATAATAATATTTCAAAATATATATTTATAAATTAATTTGAATATATAAAATAATAAATATTAAGACTTATTAAAAATAATTAATAAAAGAAATAATAGTAATAATTATGAGTTGTTTTAAATAATTAAATTAAATATAATTAATATTTTAAGAAGATAACATTTCAAAGTTTATATGGTCTTAACATTTTAGTGAATACTATAACATTGCCCTTAGTATATGCGTTTATATTTATTTTCTCTATTTCAAGATAGTTATCATTTTTTTTATTTTGAATTTTTCTCAAATTAATTATTGTTTTTTATTTTTTAAGATAAACAAATATTTTTTTCTATCTTAATGTTATTATTATCTATTTACTTTGATTGGTTATTCTATTGTAAAAAAAATTCACTTTATCTTTTAACTCTTTTTAAAGGTAATAAATTAATTTATTATTTTATTTTTTAAAATAAATAAAATTTTTTACTTAACTTTACTATTATCTATTTATTTTTATTAATTATCTTATTATAAAAAGTTTCACTTTACCTTTTATGAATAACTTTTTTTAAAAGTAATTTAGATCAATATATAAATTATTCTTAAATTTTTAATTTAAAAAAATAAAAAATGATAGTTATTTTAAAATAAAAAAGTATAATTTAAAAAATAAAAAATTAATTTATTATAATTTATTAATTATTTCATTTGACCACACATATTAACATATTACAGTATTAGTAATAAATAAAAATACTACTAATGTGGAATCTTACCTTGTATGTAAGAATTTCTCGAATATGGACAGTTCCTCTAATTAAGAACATTAGCTGTTAAATTTAACTTTTCATCTATTAATTAAAATCCTCTTTTCTCCTAATTTCATCTATTAACTTTAACAATTATATTAAATTGGTCTACTTAATAAAATTCCGTTAAACTCAGTTATTTTTTCAATTTTGCACTTGAATTTAGAATTTACTTTTAAGCTTATTAAGTCCCTGTACTATTGATTATATACTCTATTAATGCTAAAGAAATGGGGAAAATCACGTTATATCATTTGACAATGATGTCTTAATTATGGTATTGTCTTGTCAACTTTTTTTTTTTTTTTTATTGAAAGTGAGGCCAGCACAGCATACATTCAATATTTATTTTCAATAAAAGCAAGTTTAGAAGGGTATGTTTGGTAACATGATTTTCATAGAGTGTATTTAAATTTAAATCTTTTAAATTTAATATCATTATTTATTTTTACAAAATAACTATGTAATTGAATTTATTCCAAATACATGTAATTGAGTTTATGTATTTCATTGTTTTAAATCTATGTATTTGAAATACCATCTCAACTCCATGTATTTCAAATTTAAATTTATGTATTTTAACTCTCTCATTTTTCTCAATAAGCAAATTGAATATCAAATTTATTGTTATTATATTATATTAATCCAAATAATAAATTTAAAAATACATGTATTTAAAATTATATATATTTTAAATACATATATTTCAAATACACTTTTCAAATACAAATTCCAGTTACCAAACATATCCTAAAAGAATTTTGGTGAAGACAAAAGTTATAATTCTTTTTGGCCAAAAATAAGTTCAATGGTAAAAGTAAGAAAATAACTATATTTAGGGGCCAACATGAAGGATCCTTACGTTTTTATTGCAATATTTTAATTAAAGTTACTGTTTACTACGAAATTAATTACTACATCCATTCAACTATTTAACTTTAGTAATTTTAATTTAATTTTTATTTAACTTTAGTAATTTTTCAATTATAGTTCTAATTCATATAAATTATTAAATTATTAAATAAAATTTATATCTAAAAAAGTTAAATTAAGATTATTGAAATTAAACCAAATATTTTGAATAGAAGAGTGTTTTAATTAACTATTTAAATATAACGAATAGTTAATAATTGACATCTAACCATTAATAATTATTATTAAGTAAAACTTTCAAATTTGCCCCTTAAATTAAATTGGAGAATAAGAATAGATTCATCCTAAAAAAAAGAAATAAATTATTTTTTTAAAATTATAAATTAAGATAAATTACTTATTATTTATGATGTGACCATACATCATCTTTTTATTAAAAAATTTTCATTAAAAATCTTTAAATAACAAACAAATTTTTGACATGGGATGACATTATACTTTAAATAATAAATAATTTATTTTAATTGATAATTAAAAAATAATTTATCCTTATTTAAAAAATAAATAAATTTATTCCTATCCCGAGCAAATTCAAAAGCTCTGCTTCATTACTACTCCTCTTTCTATTTTTCGAACTGAAGTTAAAACTACTCCCATTTCTATTTGATTTTTTTTGAAAGGAAGACTATTAATGCATATTAAGTAAAAAAAAAATTATTTTATAATATGAATTGTATATAATCCGCCTAATAAAATGATTCAAATGCACTTGACATTTCGGATCAACTGGCAGCCTACCAACTTGACATGCATTCCCCCTCCCCCATGAGTGAGTTACGAGCCTGTTCCTTGACAACTTGTTAAAAAATATATATATAATTAAAAATAAAAATATTTAAATAATTTTATAAAATAAACTGTTATAATCTGTTTTATAAAATAATTCTCTTAAATAATAAAAATTAAAAAAATTATGGAGTTAAAACACCTAAATTTACAATAATAATAATAATCCGTATTAATTCAAAATTTAAACCAACCACTAAACCGGAGCGTGGTATCTACTCCTATATATATTTGATTATAACTACCGAAATTGATAAAATAATTATGAAACTCCAGGACAAAACCCTATCTAAACTCAACCAATAAATGAATGGCCCCGCACCGACTAGTGACATTGAAGCTGAATTATAGTCGTTTACCTCTTATAAGTCTCTTATAAGTTGTATATTCGAAACTTATATATCTTTTTTTTTTTTTGTAATTAACATGTAAATAATTATAATTAGTTAAAAAAAAACTCAATACATAAATAAATAAAAGGTAAAAACTTTTCTTAAACCCTTAAATTTATCATAAAATAATATTTAAGTTGTTAAATTAAAAATAAAATAGATAAACCCTTTAATTTTATCAATAATGTAAATAAATCTTATTCATAAACTAGTTAAATGATATTTCATGTTTAATATCTATTATCTTGAAAGCATAAACACTCATGAATGAGGATGACTTATTCGCATTATCAACGAAATTAGATAATTTATCTGTTTTATTTTTAATTAAGTGTCCCAAATGTTATTTTGAGATAAATTTAATATTTTAAAAAGGATTTTTACCGAAATAAATAAAATTGGGGAAGAAAGAAATTTCAAATCCACGCGCTCTCTAAGAAAGTACGAACACTTTTGGTTAATACATAACGTAATTGACTTTTGACTCTGAGAGGGAGAGTGCGGGACGGTTTCAATTTCAAAGACGACTCTAGGTCGTCTGGTCTTCCTTCCTTTCCACGCCCCTTATCACCTCAGTAAATATATGTATATATATATATATATATATATAAAGGTAAAAGTGGCAAAACGCTCCACTCTTGGCGTCCTCGAGCCTTCCGCATTTCCGGAACACCAACATGCCGAGGAAGAACGTCTGAGATACACTATTTTCGTCTCCTCGACTCGTTCTTGACTCGCTTTAGACTCACTTGACTCGTTTCCGTAGTTACAGCGTTTTTGAGGAGGAGAGCAACGCCGGACGCCGGACGACTGTTCTGGTTGAGGTTTGTAAGCGGTTGAGTCCGATGATGGGATCCTCGGAGGGGAAGCGAATCGAGGAGGTGTTGTCTTATCCGATTCTGTTGGCGGAGCGGATTCGTGCGGCGGTGGATGAGGCGGAGTCGTTTAAGTTGGAGTGCGGTGAGGTTGGGAAGCAGGTGGATCGGCTTTTGCAAATGCTTCGAATCCTTGTTCGCTTCACCACCGCGGCTCAGTTTCTTTACGAACGCCCGATTCGGCGCGTGGTTGCTGAGGTATCCAGGAACCTCGAGCGCGGCTTGGCTCTTGTCCGCAAGTGCAAGCACCACAACATCTTTAGCCGGGTGGTTGCGATCACCAGCGTCCCCGATTTTAAAAAGCTCTTAAACCTTCTGGAAGCTTCCGTCGGGGACATGAGGTGGCTACTCAGCGTGTTTGACTCTGAAAACGGCGGTGCCACCGGCGGAATCGTTCTCTCCCTTCCTCCAATTGCCAGCAACGACCCGATTATCTCTTGGGTCTGGTCGTACATCGCCGCCGTCCAGATGGGTCAATTGGCTGATCGAATTGAGGCGGCTAACAATCTCGCTTCGCATGCTCAAGATAATGACCGGAACAAGAAAATCATTGTGGAAGAAGGCGGAGTGCCTCCTTTGCTAAAGCTTTTTAAAGAGAGCTCCTCCGCAGACGCCCAAATTGCCGCAGCTTATGCACTTCGTATTTTAGCAAATGAGCGAGAGAGAGTGAGGAATATTGTGAGTGAAATGGGAATTCCAATTGTGGTTCTTGTATTGGGGGATTCGCCGACGACGGTTCAGATTCAGGCAGCAAAATTGGTGGCTAGAATGGCAGAGCATGATCCGGTGGCACAGGATGATTTTGCCCGAGAGAATGTGATTAGGCCTCTGGTAACATTGCTGTCCTTCGAGACATTTGTGGATGATCCAAAAGCACAATTGGGTAAGCAAAGCATTCATTCCATAGTTCAGATTAATAAAGAAATGGAGAAGTATTCATCTTCAAATTCGTGGAATTACCGGCCTCATATGAATTCATACTCGAGTTCCTCTATGGAAGGTAGTAGTAGTAGTAGAGGGGGGAATCATAGAAAGGAGAGGGAGAATGAGAAGCCTGAAGTGAAGCTTCAGTTGAAAATTAGTTGTGCAGAGGCATTGTGGATGCTGGCTCGGGGGAGTGTTTTGAATAGTAAGAGGATAACCGAGACAAAAGGATTGCTTTGCTTGGCTAAGTTGGTGGAGAAGGAACATGGTGAGTTACAGTACAATTGCCTGATGACTGTAATGGAGATTACAGCTGCTGCTGAGTCCAGTGCTGATCTTAGGCGTTCTGCATTCAGGACTAATTCTCCTGCTGCAAAGGCTGTTGTTGATCAGTTGCTGAAGGTGATTAAAGAGTCGGACAGCTCCACACTGCAAACTCCTGCAATCAAGTCAATTGGATCATTGGCAAAGACATTTCCAGCGAGAGAGACTAGAGTGATTGAGCCTTTGGTGGCGCAGCTGAGCAGTAGGGACCAAGAAGTGGCAGCAGAAGCTGCCATTGCATTGCAAAAGTTTGCTTTTCCTGAGAACTTCCTCTGTATGGAGCACTCAAAGACCATAATAAAGTTTGATGGTGTACCATATTTGATGAAAATGCTTAGAGGCAGCGAAAGGACTCAGCTCCATGGATTGATTCTGCTCTGCTACCTTGCAATGCATGCAGGTGATAGTGATGCTTTGGAACAAGCTAGGGTGTTGACTGCCCTTGAGGGGGCAGATCGGACAGTTCTTGCACAACACCCTCAGCTGAAGGAACTGGTATCCAAGGCAATATACCAACTCAGCCTTTATCACACAGGAGTTCATCCTCAGAGGCAATCATATGCACCTTGAACATGAACAACCCTTTTGTTTTTGGAATAGTTTCTGCTTTTCAGGTCAATAGATTCTCATTGGAAGCAAATATCAAGTACAGAAATACTCAGGTTTGAATCAGTTAGAGAATTGAATAGTTCATCAAAGTACAAAGGTTTTTTGGCCAGAGTAAATAATACATCATGCTTATGGTAGATAGTTGATTTCACACTCACTTAGACATTGATGTGAATTTTTATGTTCTTCTATATCATTTTATGAACATACTCCTCACCCCTTAAAGGGTGTTTTAAATAATTAAAAACTTGAGATTCTAAGTTAGAAATGTCAAGTTCAGCGATAAGAGAAGGGAAAGGTTATGCCTATCATATAGCACATTATCTAATGTACCAAAGAAATAAATGAACATATTCCTCTTGTTTATGTCCTAAAATTGTTCTGGTATTCAATTATATCTTTTGCCTGGTTACCTGAAGTGTCTTAGCTGTCTGTTGAAGAAAGGATTGGATTTACTAGTACCTATCAGTGATTATGGATTGTGTTGGGACTGGGAAGCATATTTCGTAAGTTAAATCATCTTATACCTTAGTAGTCGATCTACCCTTAAAAACCATTTAAAAAGGACACAGGAATTTGAGAAAGGGGAATACCCACTCCTCAACTTGGATACACCCTAAATTGCAGTGTGCTAGATTGTAATACACAAATAACAGATAAAAGGATCAGAGACTGAAATCAAAATAAAAGGTGATATCAAATATACATTCACAAGGATCACTTGTCAAAAGAGAAGATCGCTTGAACAAAAACAAAAACAACAATGACTAGAGAATGGAAAATGTATTATTAAGAAGTACATGTGAAGATTTAGTAACTACATATATGTAAACATACAATTCTCAGCGAGATGAAGGCAAAGCTTTCCAACTGTCAGCAAGAAACATAGCATGATCCCGTGAATTTGTTGATAGTCGTTGGAGAACGACATTTTTTACATGGTTTGCTGCTGATTCGCCAGCACGAGTAGCAAGTTCTAGGTAAACTACCGCTTTCATCATATCCCTTTCCTGTCCAAATACAACAAAAGGTTTCCAATCAGCTTTGAGCCTGAATCCATACGTGAAATCAAGTGTTAAATTGAAACCTTTTTTATATATATATTGAAAAAAAAAAAAGGGAAACCCAACAACATAGAACAGAACAACTTTGGTTCTTTTGTAACAACAGAGAATGATCAAGCAATTTTCTAATTTTTAAACCTCCTGGTTTTCCCTGCCAAGCACCATTCCTCACCTTTTCCCCACCTAACTTCAATCCCCTATGTTAAATGAACCAAGGTAAAGTCACACTACTTTGACAAGTGTCGGTATATTAAGTAGGCATTTTTCCATTGATTGTAGTCAAGGACTGAGTAAAAAAAAAAAAAAGGGGGATAACAGAAATGTTCCATGTACCGAGAACAGGGCAAGTCCATGTTCAAATTGAGCTTTGCTATGACCATGATCAGCTGCCTGCTTCATCCATTTCCTTGCTTTTCTATGACTGCGGGGAAAACCCTCCCCAAATGAAAAGCAGAGGGAAGTATTGTACATTGCCCGCACATATCCACCTTCAGCCGCTTTAAGATACCACCTAGCCTGTATGAAGGGAAAGAGAATATTAGAAGAGATGTAGCATACACTCGCTAATAAACGAACAAGAAAGTTTATATTATCTAAAATTTTCTCATAATAGCAAGATACCAAAAAGAGGTATAGATATCACTAGAAGTAAATTGGCCAGAAAATACATCACATACAAATATAAGTTATATATAGCAAACTTTCTAGTACCGTTTTTAGGCCAACCAACTTCCTAGTACAAAACCACAATTCCCAGCACAGAGAATATGGCATAAAAATAGAAACTTAAATTCTAACAAACAGTGAAAGTATGAAGAATGAGCCACATACAGCTTCCTGTAAATTGCAGTGCACCCCAATGCCTCGATGCAGGCAAAGTGCAAGCTGGTACTGAGCACGAACGTGTCCAGCAAGAGAAGCCTGATGTAACCATTTTACAGCTTCTTTTGCATTTTGTGGTTTCGCTGCAAAGATAATAATGCCAATCAATAAGCATGCATTGGTGAAATGGTTAATGATAAGGAAAAATTAAGAAATAATAATTAGCCAAAGCACCAAGGTAAGTAAAGAACATATCACCCCAGCATCTAGAATAAAATTAGAGTAGAACTTGGCCATAAAAGTTTGCTCCAACAGCAGCACAAGAATAATGCTCTATTCCTCTACAATCTACAAGTTACCAAAAAGGTAATCATAAAAGCCAAAGTTCATCATTGAAAGGCTCAATTGATACACACTTCCCACATTCTTCTTAGCATTTTGAATTAAGCACAAGAATCCCACGGGAAGAAGCAAAAAGACTTGTTTTTCACACAATTACAGCCAAGAATTGAACCCTGAAAGTTCCTCATGAAGAAGAAAACTAAGAGACATAATAAGCATGCAAGCTACTTGAAAAATTCCTCCAGAGAAAAGCAATCCAATTCTCCACTAAATATAAATGCCTTTTTTATACAACCAAACCATCAAATTTCATTCTCTATTTAGATATATACACTACTCATCTCAACTATCACCAAATTTCTCATCAACAATTACCGGGCAATCTAACAACCTATATTTTTATTTAGAATAGTCACTACAATTAGAACTTCAGGGCAATAATACAAACAGGAAGAATAAGCTAAAGGAAGAAAATTTAATTGTAGCAACTCAACTCATCAACTCAATTCCAAAGAGATAGATAAATAAACAAATAATAATAAAACCAAAAAAGATCAATTCAAGGAAACAATTTGATACCTTGCAAAAATGAAATTCCCAAATTGCATTGGCCTGTAGGGTCACCAAGCTCGGCAGCTCTCATGTAAAGAGCAACAGCCTCTTCCCTTTTGCCCTTCTCCCAGTAGAGAAGCCCGGCATCGACCATCGCAAGTGTGGAGCCACGCGCAGCACCTTTCAAGAAACAATCCAGAGCCTTCTCCAAATTGAGTTGCACCCCTGGCCGACCGTGCTTGAACCGCTTTCCCCATAGAACCAACAGCATGGCCTCCCTCAGCGGCCGAAGCGCCTCGCTCCACGACTTGCACACAAGCGACGCCGCTCGAAGCGTGGGGAGCGTGAACGTCGCCGCAATCCTCGTCAGTACGTCGTAAGGGAGCGTCGAGAAATCACGGCCATCGATTGAGGAAGAAGGGGTAGAACGGAATCTGGTACGCTGAAAGTAACAGCTAGTTTCCGTTTTCCAGCCTGAGATTTTGATCTTCCCGTTCCGATCGCCGGATTTGAATAACGGAAGGGCGGTGAAGGGAGAGCCGTCGGATCGATCCGGCCATGTCCTTTGCTTCATCTAGAATTCTCTCGACTTTTCTCGAGCACTCAGTGCAGCTCCCTGTTTTGGAGCAAACGAAGACCGAAGATTTTTCTTCTCTTTTTCTCTTTGATTTTGATTTTGATTTTGATTTTGTCTTTGTTTTTTTTCAAATAATTATTTTAATAAAATACTAGCAACAAAATTAAAATAGTTCCTTTCATTCTTTCAATAAGTAAGGTGATTTTTTAATAAAAATTTATTAAAAACATAATTTTAAATAATGAAGGTAGATTTATTTAAAAATAAATATTATATATTATATT